CAAAAAATATCTATGACCTAAAATGGAATCAGTAGCCAAAGGGCCCCATAAGTCAGCATGTAAGAGTTCAAAGGCAGCATTAGTATTGGTGACACTATTAGGAAAAGGTAACTTCTTTAATTTGGCCAAATGGCAAGAATCACAAGGATTCATATTATTGTTACAAGGAATTAAGGGAAATTGTTTAGACATACAGTGCATTCCAGTATTGGAAAGATGCCCTAGTCTATTATGCCACAGTTCAAAAGAATTGGAAACTAAAGAATTACATGAAGGAGAGACATCACTTGTATCAATCACATAGAGGCCTTGGTGCAATTTAGCTGTACCAATCATTCTCTGCGAATGGTTCTGCAAAATGGCACACATGGTCGAAGAAAATTTTAGAAAGCATTTATTTGTAGTTGTTAATTTTGTGATAGAGACAAGATTGACATGGAATTGAGGGATATAGAGCACATTGTATAGGGTTAGGGTTGGGGATAGTATTATAGTGCCTGAGATGTTTGCCATGATATGAGAACCATTTGGTAAGGCTACAGAGATAGGGATAATGGGTTGGTAAGTAGCAAAGGAATCTAAGTGAAAGGCTATGTGATCAGTGGCTCCAGTGTCTAGAATCCACAGTTTAGGGTTCTTACCAGGATAGTGCAGGGACTGAGAGTTTGAGGCAAATGGAGATGTAGTGATAGCATTGGCTGTTGGGGCTGGTTGAGACTGTTGAAGTAAGGCTCGGAGATTCTGAAGTTCCTCCTGAGTAAACCCAAACGTGGATGTGGATGATCCTACAGTTGAATCAGCAGCTTGTGTAGTGTTGTTAGCTTGAACATGAGACTGACTTTGGCTAGTTTGATGAGTTTTGGTGCGTTGTCTATAGCCCGGAGGATATCCATGTTTCACAAAACAAGTATCCACCGTGTGATTCGTACGACCGCAGTGAGTGCAAACCCTATTTCCTCCTTTGAGGGCAGGATAGGGACCTTTTCCTCTGCCGTAAGACACTCCTTTGCCATTAGTATGGGTGTTGACCTGAAGAGCAGTGGCAGGAGATTCAGTAGAAGGACTCTCCGTGGAGGTAAAGGGAGTACCGGAGTTCAATTCCCGTTCTTGCTGAATCACTAGCGAGAAGGCCTTGTCAATGTCCGGAAGAGGTTGCATCATCATGATCTGCGATTTGGAGTGGGCGAAACGTTCGTTCAATCCTTTCAAGAACCGAATCACGTAATCTTGCTCACGGTAGACACGAGCAGATTGTACAGCATCACAAGAACACGCAATTGAACATTTGCAAAAAGGAAGGGGACGATAATTCTCCAATTCATCCCAAAAGACTTTCAACTGCGTAAAATAGTCAGAGACATCAAGAGTACCTTGGCGGAATCGATACAGATCTTCTTGGATATCTGAGATTCTGAAGATGTCGCTCTGAGAAAACCTAATTCGAAGGTTCTTCCAAACGCCTGCTGCAGAGTCGATCCATAACACAGATTTCGCAATGGATTCTGAAATTGATCGCTGAATCCAAGAAAGAACCATTGTATTGCAGCGAATCCATTGTGCATAGAGAGGATCAGCAACTTGAGGCCTTGGGAATGTGCCGTCAACAAATTTCTCTTTGTTCTTCGAAATCAGAGCGATTTGCATCGATCTTGACCAAATGTGGTAGTTCTTGTTGTCCAATGGTGGAGCAACGAGAACAAGCGCCGGACTTTCGTTCGGATGAAGATAGTAAGGGTTAGCAGAGTTTGTCGCGAAATCGGAGAAGCTCGGATGATCCATCGTCAATGGAAAACAAAAGAAGGAATCGCCGGAGAAGAAAGAAGAAGACCGTCAGAATAGTCACCGGGAGAGAAATGATATAAGGAAACCGCCGGTGAGGGAGGAAGAGACGGTGGCGAAGGAAAAAGGAACGGTGGTCATCAGAGCTCAGGTAGCTCTGATACCATATTGATATTGAGATAATAGCATAGTAGTGAAAAAGAATACGCCACGTGTAAAGTAGAAATTATCTGCATTATCTCATATTTTCCAGTAGTTTACATCCACTAATATATATACTAAGAATGGAAAGGGTAAACTAGTAACTAACTGTTGAAATAGTAACTAACAGTTAACAACTTAACAGAAAAAGGAACTAACTCTAATAGCTATCTTGATATTAAGCACTGGTTAATAAATTTTGAGATTAAGGAGGACTTACTAAGGGTTATTACTTTATGGATCACAATGCCTAATCTCCCTCTGCACCTATGGGGAGAGGAAAGCATATCCAAAACTGTGAGTGCTATAGGGAAGCCGATAACAATGGACGAATGCACAACCAAGAAACTACGAATCTCATATGCTAGGGTCTTAGTAGAAGTTGATATCATACAAAAGGTTAAAGACAAGGTGTATATATATAACCATAGAGGAAAAGAAATGGAGCAACTTACTGCCAAACCTGCTTGAAAATTGTCCATGATTGTGAATTGAGGAAGCAAAAACCTTAAACAAATGTTTGACAGCCTACACAGAAAGTTATTACAAATAAGCCCAAGGATGTGATTCAGGAAAAAGTGGAAGAAGAACCTAATGCAGAAAATGAAGGAGTTAATGCAAAAAACTAGACCATGATTTCATCTAACAGAGAAAGAAGTAAGAAACTTGTTGTCTTTACTCCTAATAACACCATGGTTGTGCATAATATATTTACTCCCCTTAGGATTGGTGAGTATCCTATAGGAGAGAGTAGCAATGGAGGATGATTGTGACCTAGAATGTTAAGGGCATCAATAAAGAGGCGTGACATAGAGAGGTTAGCTCATATCTCTCGGAATTTCATGTTCATGTTATTGCCTTACTTGAAACTAGAGTTAGAAAGGTCAATGCTGACAAAATAAGAATGAAGTTTGGGAATAAATGGATGTATCATGATAATTACAACTACCATGATAATGGGAGAACTTGAATGTTATAGGATCATAGAGAGGTTGATGTCAAGGTGGTGTATACATATGAACAATATATTCATGCTCAAGTTTATGGATTAGATAGGAAAATGCAGTATAGTATTACTATTGTTTATGCTTTTAACCAGATTGAGAGAGGGAAGTTGTTGTGGAACGAGATTAAGAATGTGGGAATTAACACAAGAGGGCCCAGGGTAGTTATGGGTGACTATAACAATGTCCTGACAAGTCAAGATTTGATTGGGGGTAATAATGTTAGTGAGGCAGAGTTTAAAGACTTAGCCAGCATGATGCAAAGATCATGCCTATTTGAAGCCCCTACCAAAGGTTGTTTTTATACCTAGTCAAATAAGCATAAAGAAGGGTTGCTTTATTCTAGAATTGATCATATGATTGGTAATGAGATCTAGAAGGCCTTAGAGAGAATAGGAAACACTAAAGCTCCTGGGATTGATGGATTCAACTCCTTCTTTTTCAAGGATTCTTAGCATATTGTGAAAAATGATGTCGACATGGCTGTTAAGGAGTTATTTTCTACTAGTAGGATACACATGGCCTTTAATTGTCCCCTAATTACTCTTATACCTAAAGGTACTGAGTCAACAACTATCAAAGATTTGAGACCAATTTCTTTCTGTAGCACCATCTATAAGATAATTTCTAAGATCCTAACTGATAGGATGAACAGAGTTATGAACACCCTCATTAATGACACCCAATCTGCATTTGTGCCAGAAAGAGTGGTTCATGATAATATCATGATTGCACAAGAACTGGTTATAGGGTACGGCAGAAAGAATATATTTCCCATGTGCATGGTCCAAATGGACATTCAAAAATCTTATGACACTTTTTAGTGGCCTGCTTTGGCTCAAATCATGAGTGTTATGGGATTCCCTCAAAAATTCAGTAACTGGATTCTTGCTTGTGTCACTTATGTGTCTTACAGGTTTGTAATCAATGGTATACCAAGTGGAGTTCTCAAAGCAAAGGTGGAGCTTAGACAGGGGGTCCAATATCCCCCACCTATTTGTTCTTATCATGGAGTATCTCTATCGAATCCTCAAAGAACTCAAGCACAATCATGATTTCAACTTTCACCCGAAGTGTGAGAAGCTGAATATTAGGAATCTTTGCTTCGCATATGATATTTTATTGTTCAGCAGGGGAGACTTAATATCAATTCAACTTATCATGGGTAAAGTTAGGGAGTTCTCAGATTCTACTGGTCTAAAGATGAGCATACAGAAGAGTAAGATCTACTTTGGAGGGGTTAATTTGGATACTCAGAAGCTTATTAAACAGTAAATTGGCTTTGACATTGGTAAGATGCCTTTTGAGTATCTAGGGGTGCCTCTAGATAGTAGAAAATTGTCCATTTCTAACTATCAACCTTTAATTGAAAGAATGTTGGTAAGAATTAACCATTTGACTGCTAGGTTACTGTCATATGCTAGTAGGTTGTTGTTGGTTAAAAGTGTGATATTTTCTATAGAAAACTATTGGCTACAGGACTTTCCTCTTCCCAAAAAGGTTCTTACTCATGTGGAAAGTTTGTGTAGGAACTTCTTGTGGACTGGTAAGGACATATACAGTAGGAAAGCACTTATATCGTGGGATCACATTTGGACCTTGTTGCTGCAGGAGGAATGAATCTGATAACTTTAGCTGATTGGAGTAAAGCTATTATGCGGAAAATGTTGTGGAATATTAGTGAGAAGGACATATTATGGATCCAATGGATAAACAATTACTATATGAAGAAACAGAACCACATAACTTACCATCCTGCTGGACACTGCTCTTGGGTGCTGAAAGCTATCTTTAAGCATATAGATATCATTATCAACTTTTCTTCCTGTAATCAGTGCAAAGTTATGGGGAACTATATCACCATGAAGATCTATCTAATGCTCATGCTCAGAGGAGAGAAACCTGCAACCCCTTAGAAAAGGTTGATGATGGGTAATATTGGTAGACCTAGAGCTAGATTCTTGCTTTGGATGACCTGTCAAAATAGAATTCCTACCAAGGACAGATTAATGAAACATGACACTAGTAAAGATGGACTGTGCGTTTTCTGTGGAGATCAAGAAAGTTGTAAGCACATTTTCTTTGAATGTGAGAAAACCAAGAGGGCGTGGAAGAAAACTCTGCAGTGACTACACATTCAACATGAGCCGGATGGATGGGACAATGAGATTGTTTGGTGTGATCATGGGGCAAGTGGAGGATAATAGAAAGCTTACTAGTTTTTGTAGAAATCTTTGAGTTTGTATAGGTTGTTTTAATTTGTATCTTTTGTCTGGTTGTAGCATGGATCTTAGGATCGACACTGCTTAAATTCTTTTTTGGAATAAAAATTCTATTTATTTGCTCCAAAAAAATAAAATAATAATAATAATAAAAATAATAATTATTATTATTATTATTATAATAATAATAATAATAATAATAATAATATAATAGTAATAATAATAATAATAATAATAATAATTATTATTATTATTATTATTATTATTATTATTATTATTATTAAATTTAAATATTATTAAGACTTTATTCCTATCTTATAATCTACTCCATTTACTTGTAATGTTAACAGAGAAGAGATTTCGGTAAAAGTATTAAGGTTTAATTAGTGTTAAAGTATTTTAATTTAATTTTAGATTTTACTTTAGTATCTTATATAATATAATATATAATATAATGTTATAGATTAGTCTTTTAAAAATTGTTTTATTAATCAACTTAATCTTTTTTATTAAATTTTGAAAAAAAAAACATTAATAGATGGTAATGCGACACAACGACAATGCAAAATTTAAAATACTGACTCAGCAAACTAGTTACATCAATGTTCATAATTTCATTTGTTTATTAAGATTATAGGGTTTTTTATTTATATTTTTTAACATTTGTATTCTTCAACTTTCATCTTCATAAATATTTTTCTTTTTCAAAATTTCTGTTTAAATGTCAAAAAATTTCAGCACCTCTTCAAACAACCAAACTTGTGGGACATTTGGATCAGTGCTCAGAAGAAACAAGAAGATTGAGTGTTTTTTCTAAGAGGGGTGTGTTCTATTAGAAGTAATTCATATCCAGAAGCATGTTGTTAGTCAGAAGCAATAGAGCTTCTAAAGCTATTACTCAGAAGTAAAAGTTTGATATGTTCTAGAAGTTACTCTTAGCTGTTAGCTTAGCTATTATGCATACTTTTGTTAGGGTCTACGCGATAATTTATTTTGTGAATTTAAACAAGTTTGTAGCTAGGGTTTTTGTAATGCGATTATTAATAGAATTTCTTTCTCAACGAGTTTGTTGTAGTCCTCTCTCTCTCTCTCTCTCTCTCTCTCTCTCTCTCTCTCTCTCTCTCTCTCTCTCTCTCTCTCTCTCTTCTTCTATATTCATTTTTCATCTTCAATCTTGTACACCAACAATTGATATCAGAGTCTGATTCATTTTTCAAGTTGCAAGGATTTAGAAAGTGTGAGATGGAGTATGACGTTTATTTGTTGCATACTTTTGAAGGCAATATGATTCTCATGTGTCTCTATGTTGATGACATATTTCTAACATGAAGTTGTCCTGAAGAGATAGTCAAGTTCAAGAAGGTGTTGATGAATGAGTTTGTGATGACTAATCTGGGAAATATGATATATTTTCTAGGGATGGAGATTTTGTACTCTAAGAAGGGTATAGTTTTGCATCAGTTGAAGTATGAACTTGAACTTCTAAATAGATTTAAGCTAAGAAATTTCAAGACTGCAATCACACATGTTAAGACGAATCACAAGTTGGATTCTGATGTTGAAGCTGATGATGCATGTGCTATAACTTTCAAATAGTTGGTTGGCTCATTGGGGTATCTGTGTAACACCATACATGACATTTATTATGTGGTTGAAACAATGAGTATGTCTATGAACAAGCCAAAGTGGTCACATTACCAAATTGTTGTCAGAATTATAAGGTACATTAAAGGGACTCTGAAGTATGGAGTGTTGTTCCCTTCTAATGTTAAAACTGACACAGAGCTTATAAGTTATTCAGACTCTGATTGATGTAGAGACAAAGTTGATAAAAGAAGTACTTCTGGATATTTTTTCAAATATCTGGGAAGTCTCATTTCTTGTTGCTCCAAGAAGCAATCCGTGGTTGCATTGTTAACTTGTGAAGCTGAATATATTGCGGGTCTTTTGACTATGTGTTAGTTGTTTAAGTGATGAATTTGTTGCAGGATCTGAAGATCAAGGTGAGAAAACTTGTGAAGTTGATGATTAACAATAAATAAACTATAAGCCTTTCCAATAATCCAGTGATGCATGAGAGAAGCAAGCACATTGACACGAAGTTTCATTTTTTGAGAAGTCAAGTTCACAATGGAGTGCTAGAAGTTGCACACTGTAGCACTCAGAAGCAACTTGCTAATGTTCTGACTAAAGTTGTCAAGACAAAATACTTTATCTGTCTGAGGGATGTAACTGGTGTTGTATATTTCTGAATATTAATTAAGGGGTGGTGTTAGAAGTAATTCATATTTATAAGCATGTTATTAGTTAGGAGAAATAGAGCTTATGAAGTTGTCACTCTGAAGCAGTAGTTTGATATGTTCTAGAAGCTACTCTTACCTGTTAGCTTAACTATTAAACATACTTTTGTTAGGGCCTACGTGACAGTTTATTTTGTGTATTTAAACAAGTTTGTAGCTAGGGTTTTTGTAATGCAATTATTAATAGAGTTTCTTTCTCAACAAGTTTGTTGTAGTCGTCTTTCTCTCTCTTCTTCCATCTTTAATCTTGTGAACCAACAAGTTCTTCGTACGATTACAGATATGAATAGTGTGGATGTTGGTAAAAAGTCTTGGGGTTGTAGAAACTACATAAATCAAATGGAAAAGGGATGTAATTTTTTCTAGTGGTTATGTGATGAAATTGATAATGGAAGAGATTTAAAGGTTGAAAGGAAAAAGAAGGAAGTTTTCAAGTTGAAGAATGAGATTGTCAACACAAGAGAAATGTTGAAAGTGTCAATGATGTATGGTAATTTTAGTTTAGGTTTGAATGTAGTATTTTTAACAATGTATTTCAAATAGTATTAGTTGATTCGCTGTGTTGGTTGAAATCAATGTAATACTTGTGTCTATTCTATTTTTATGGACAATCTATGTAATATCTATGTTGGTTTAATGAAATTGGTTAATCAAAACAATATGTGTTCATGCTTTACTCTATTATTACTAAATTGTTGCTCAAGATTTTAGTTTAATACAGTCATATGACAATCTGCATTACCTTCTCTGTTGAGTTAAATTGCAGTACATAATTATTTTTGAAACAAAAGTTATTAGTTAAAGAGCTCAAAATGTTAAGTTTGATAGATACGAGACTAAAAAATTTAAACCTTAAATTAAATAAAGGGACCAAATATGTTATTCATCAGACATATTAAGTTTGATAGTCTAACCAAATTGTAAATAAATTCTTCGTGTATTAAGTTATTTATCAGACCAAATATGATACAAAATTAACCCATACACAATATCATGATAGTAATATTAAAGTAAACAAATTTTAATGCATTAACATAATCAGAATAAGAATCATATTATTGCATTGAACCATATTGACATTGAAAACATAAAACCATAAAATGATGCCATGAAACCATAATGTTATAATTGTTTATTTTTATAGACTCTAATACAAAAGTATCATAGACACTATAGAAAAGGTGTGACATAAAATCATAATGCAGTTGGCTCAAGATGAGTTTATGTTTGCTAACTTGGTCCTTGACTTGGTGCTGGCTGACTTGGTCCCTGACTTGGTGCTTGCTAACTTGAACCCTAACTTGGTGCAAGCTGATTGGGTCCTTAACTTGGTGCAGGCTGACTTGGTCCCTGACTTGGTGCAGGCTGAATTTTTTATTTTGTAACTAGAAATTTGCAAGTAGCTTTGTTGTTTCCAATCATGTGGAACTTATTTCACTTGATTCCAAATTTCGTCTGTTTCAGTTGTATCTCATCTTTCATAATTTTTGTAACATCCTTGTTTCTTTTCTTCTCTAGCCTTTCAAGTTGTCTTTTGATTGGTTGTGGTTCTAAATAAACATACTCTATTTTAGGCCACATATTTTTCCCATTCATTGGATATATAACTGGTGTATAACAAGCCTCATAGTAGACTCTTTCGTAGCATTCATACACAAATTCTTTAACTTCCAAGTGTTGATCCTTCATGCAAGATATTGAATGACAACGTGGAATCCCTGTAAGTATCCATATCCTACAAGATCATTCTTTTTTTATAGACCCACAATATGTTTTTCTCCATTATATAAGATATACATAACCTCATAATCATATTGACATGCACGCCTATAAGAAAAATTCATAACAAATGTAAAACACAACAAAAATTCACCTTCATATCCAAATGTAAAACACAATAAATTACCTCACTATTTAATTGTTGGTTATTTGTGATTCTTTTGATATCCTTCTATTGATATTTGGTAGAATATTACCTTCATATTTGGATATCTTCTTTCTATTTGACTCCCACCTCAACATAAGGTAAACTTTGATTTCTTTAATAATTGTGATAATTGGCTTGGATCTAGTACTGATGAAAACTGGGTTGAATGCATGTAACATATTATTCATCAATGTACACATCTTAGAGTCATTATAAACCTAATTTGCTCCAAAATCTTGGAGGAATCTTTATCAAGTGCTTGAATTACTCCTTATTTACTTCCTTGATTTCAAGCATGGACTTTATGTGGAACCTTGTTTTGTAGGTGATATGCTTTAACTAGGACAACAACTTTTGAAGATGGCAACCATTGTCTTCTAACAATTCAAGCATAAGTGATAAAGCGGATAAAGATGAAAACCTAAGAATTAGGTTTTGATGGACTTGATTGTCTAATGGCGGCAATCAAATGGAATACACACTCAAGCCTTATCTCAAGTGAACTCAATAAAATGTCTACAAAATAAAGTATCTAACAAAGTCTTGAAGTACACGAAAGCCCTTCCTTAATTAGTCTAAGTGAATACTTTGCAAAACATAAGGTTTTTCATGGCTTCTAATGCGAAGAGGTGGCTTTCCAGTACGAGCACGCCTCACTTCCTTCTGAGCTTTGACGGTGAAGCCCAAACCAAATTTGTCTGCTTTAAAAGGGATATCGAGGAGTTTCCCCCAAGTATCACAGTTTCCTTCTTCAATTGCCGCATGGGCATCCTTGACTGAAACCATCTT